AGACACACAAAAGTGAATATAGACATATAAAAACAGCTTTATATAGAGATAATTGACGACAATAAACTGCAGATGTGCATATTTCATGTAAATAGAGTCAACAATATGTACTCCTTTTTACCTACTTTCTTTTACTCAGCATATATTTTAGGAACCATCCATACTGTAACTTGTTTCAGTAGTTCCTTTTATAGCTAAGTAGTATTCCGTTGTATGGATACTCCACAATTTATCATTTCTTCTGACAATGGACATTTTGGTTGTTACAGTTTTTGTCTATTAAAATGAAGCTGTTATAGACATTCCTGTATAAGTCTTTCTGTGGTCAGATGCTCTCATTTCCCTTGGTAAAATACCTTGTAGGAAAAGCTGGATATGATAGGTATATGTTTAATTTTTAAAGAAATTTCCAGACTGTTTTCCAAAGTGATTATGCCATTTTACATTCCCGTCACCAGAGTGTAAGAGTTCAAATTTCTTAACATTTTTTTTATTACACATGGTATTGTCAGTCGTTTAATTTTAATTAAAATTTAAAAATGTCTAATGAGTGTGTACTGATGTTTCAATATGTTTCTAATTTGCATCTCCATAGTGATTACTGATGCTCAGTATGTTTGCACCTGCCTTCTGTCAACCACATATTCTTGGTGAAATGTATCTTCAAAGCTTTGCCCATTTATATATTGAGCTCTTTGTTTTTGTTATAGTTGTTTGATTCTTATGGTGGTCATCTGGGTCTTGATATCGGTATTGCTTCTATGCGGATCTTCTTTGTGTTATCTGTATATTACTGTCTCTATATTACTTCCCTTTATTTCCTTGGTCAGCTTGGATTGTCTTTCTAGGTTAGTTGCCTCACTTGTAAATTTAGGAAACCACTTACTTCCCATGAGTAGTTGAAATAACTAAATAAGAGAATGCATACAGAGCATTTATCAAAGTGCTTGACACAGGATAAGCACTTGGAATACCCCTTAATAGTTTTTATTGGATAATTCCTGTTTAATTATTCAAAATTAATTATCTTAATTATTCAGTAAGCAAGTATTATTATTGTTGAATATGAAAAGACCTTTACAGCTTACAAAGGTTGTTTACAGATATTGTATTGTTGCTATTATGTATGGATAGTGAGATGAAAATTCTTATATTCAATGGGAGTGTCATACTTGTTGTTTAGTAGTAAGCTCCTTGCTCTCATATAGCTTCTTAAAAGGTACTGTAAATAAAAGGGATGCTTAAGATCTAGTTGCACTTAAACTTTCCTACTAGAAGGTGATTGGTATTAGCCAGGAAATTTCTCACTAGTTTTCACTTCTCCATACTCATCTTTACTTTTATGTTCCTCTCAATTTTTCTCTTCCTAAAATGTAGTTCCCTAAAGAAAGGTTATAAAAATGATTGTTTAGAGTAGTATTAAATGCTGACTGCTGCTACTAGCATTTTAGGAAAATTGATGCTGTTCATATAAATGTTTATCCCCTAAGTAATAGAATGCATAGACTAAAAAACGAATGTAATACATGAAATGTAATGCAAAAATGCCGTTAAACACAGTTCACACTTATCATGTTAATTTTTCAAAAATATTTCTTCTTCCTATTACAGAATTTGTCATATGATTTGCTAGACTTAAAAAATGCAAGAATGTGATATGTCTTATATTTATCTTATGGGCATTTTGATTTCTAGTATTTATAGTAAAATTAATGTTCTAAAAAAATACAAACCTATATCATTGCCCACCACTCTTCACAACTCATTTCTTTCTATTTTTTAATGTCTACTTCTCTTCCCCTAAAACACTCTAATGTTTCATGCTTCTCTGAATTTCTCTCTGAATTTTCTCTCTGCTTCTTCACTTTGCACCTAGAACTCATCTTTCCAACCTCTTTTCCTTATTTTATCAAATATATTACCTTTTCTGTAAGATCTTATATAGCATCATTCAGAATTAGTCATTACTTTGTATTTGGTGTTTTAATACTTTGCTTATATCAGGAGCATATAGTATTGCTATAATTCCTTGTATATACATGTGTGAATGTGTGTATATGTGTGTGTCCTTAAGGCCAGAGCCTACTGCTTATTCATTTTTAAATCCCCAGGCCTGTACAGCTTGACACATATTAAAAAATAAACACTCATAAATGCTTAAAAATGTCCAAATAAATTAGAATAGAAATTCTTATTTTGTATAGTATAACAGTTTAGCCTAATACACTTTTATAAAGTATATCAGAGACATCTTTACTTTAATTTAAATTATTTGAGGCTTTGCATGAAATCTCATGCTTACATGACTGACTTTGTTATATAAAAGAGAGTTTTTAAAAAATGAGAAAAAGAGAAAAATCTCTTCATTACAAATGCAAATATAAAGGAGTCAAGTTACTATCTATGTTTTTTCTTCCTTGTTCATGACTCTACTCCCATCTATTAACGTAAAAGAGTCGCATATTCTTCAAAGATTTTTCCGAGGTATGTAAATTCTAAAAAATGTTTAGTGTTTAAAATCAAGTGCTTTCAAGTAACTAATATAATAAAATGTGACCTATATATTACATAAACCAAAACATGGCTTAATTAAAAAATCCACATTCATATAGTTAATTTCCCCAGCACTTTGGGGAGCTAAGGAGAGAGGATTGTTGAGATCAGGAGTTCGAGATCAGCCTGGGCAACATGAAACCCTGTATCTCCAAAAAATAAATAAATTACCTAGTCTTGGTGGTGTATGTCTATGGTTCCAGCTACTTGAAAGGCTGTGGGAGAATTGCCTGATCCCAAGAGTTCAAGGCTGTAATGAACTGTGATTGCACCACTGCACTATGGCCTGGATGACAGTATAAGACCCTATCTCAAAAACAGGTGAACAAAACTGCTGTATCTACTTGCTGTAGAGTTGCAGGGTCATCCTACAAGATGACACATTTTATTTTATTTTTATTTTTCTTGCTATATATTTTTTCTTTTTTAAAAAATTTATTTATTTAACTTTAGGTGCACACTATATCTGGCATTTCTCCCCATGTCATCCCTCCCCACTTTCCCCTCCCTCCTCACCCCCTCAACTGCTCCCAGTGTGTGATACTCCTCTCCCTGAGTCCATGTGTTCTCATTGTTCAACACCCACCTATGAGTGAGAACATGTGGTGTTTGGCTTTCTGTTCTTGTGTCAGTTTGCTGAGAATGATGGTTTCCAGATTCATCCAAGTCCTTAAAAAGGACAAGAACTCATCATTTTTTATGGCTGCATAGTATTCCATGGTGTATCTGTACCACATTTTCTTTGTCCAGTCTATCATTGATGGGCATTTGAGTTGGTTCCAGGTCTTTGCTATTGTACACAGGACTTCAATGAACATACGTGTGCATGTGTCTTTTTAGTAGAACAATTTATAGTTCTTTGGGTATATGCCCAGTAATGGGATTGCTGGGTCAAATGGAATTTCTATTTCTAGATCTTTGAGTAATCACCACACTGTCTTCCACAGTGGTTGAATTAATTTACACTCCCACCAACTGTGTAAGAGTGTTCCTATTTCTTCACTTCCTCTCCAGCATCTGTTGTCTCCAGATTTTTTAATGATCGCCATTCTAACTGGAGTGAGATGGTATCTCAATGTGGTTTTGATTTGCATTTCTCTAATGACCAGTGATGATGGGCATTTTTTCATGTTTGTTGGCCTCATATATGTCTTCTTTTGAAAAGTGTCTGTTCATAGCCTTGGCCCACTTTTGAATGGGGTTGTTTGTTTTTTTTCTTGTATATCTGTTTTAGTTCTTTGTAGATTTTGGATATTAGCCCTTTGTCAGATGGGTAGATGGCAACAATTTTTCCCCATTCTGTTGGTTGCTTATTCGCCCTAATGATGGTTTCTTTTGCTGTACAAAAGCTCTGAATTTTAATTAGGTCCCATTTGTCTATCTTGGCTTTTATTGCCATTGCCTTTGGTGTTTTAGTCATGAAGTCCTTGCCTATGCCTATGTCCTGGATGGTTTTGCCTATGTTTTCTTCTAGTGTTTTTATGGTGTTAGGTTTTATGTTTAAATCTTTAATCCTTCTGGGGTTAATTTTTCAATTGATATGTCTGGGTATGAGAACTGGCTCATGTCAAAGTATACAGGAACTGGATCATGTCTGGAAACTAGACAAC